TGTGGGAAGGAGAAGTAAAACAGCCCAACTTGCTAATAATTGACAAAGAGGCTGAACAGTCCAATAAATTGATGACAGGAAGTGAAACTCCAAGTAAAGTAGTGATTGAATTGAGTCCACAGGCTTGCTCTTCCACAATGGCAAAATTAGACTCATTTTCATCAGAAGCTAGGTCTTTACCCAAGAACCCACAAGATATACCTGTGAAAATTTCTGCCCCAGAGTTTCTTCAGTCCCCAGCCAGATCAGCAGTGTGTTTGACAGGTAGTCCACAAGAGCAAGGAGTTTCAGTTAGTGAGGAGGGGCTAAAAAATTCAGCTCCAGAATCAGCATCTAGAACTCCTAGGTACAGACGCCTCAAACTCAAGAGAAAAAGAGCAGAAGACTTTCTAGTTACAAAGATGTATGAGTTGGCTGTTTGGGATGAAAACAAGAGGCCAGAGGCCTGGGAAAGCCCAGAGAAACCAAAAGTAGAAGCACTGGAGCTACGAGATATCCATCCAGAGTTACCAGTGACAATAGAAAGCAAGGCCCTAAAAGACTTTGAAGCTACAGACTTAAAGGTAGAGGACCTTACTGCCCTGGGGGATATGCCTGTTGATTTCTGCGGTAGTCGGGTAAGCCCAGCACCTAGATCCCCAACTGCCTTGTCTCAGAAAGTTTGTGAAGAAAATTCTATATTACCTATAGGGTGTAATTCTTCTACTCCCACTAACTTTGAGCCAATACCATCTTTTTCTGGGTTTCCATTAGATTCTCCTAAAACCTTGGTGCTTGACTTTGAGACAGAAGGTGAACGAAATTCATCTAATCCCAAGAGTGTTAGGATCCCTTCTCCTAACATTTTGAAAACTGGACTTACAGAAAATGTTGACCGAGGCTTGGGGGGCCTAGAGGGAACACACCAGGCCCTTGACCTGTTAGCAGGAGGAATGATGCCTGAGGAAGTAGAAGAATCTTCCCAATTAGACAAACAAGAGTCACTCAGATTGGAATTAAAAGAAATTAATTCTGTAGGCCTTGGGCCATCTCCTTGCCTTCCAGACCTTGTTGACTTTGTCACACGGACCTCTGGAGTTCAAAAAGATAAACTGTGTTCTCCACTCTCTGAGCCAGGTGACCCTTCTAAGTGTAGCTCCCTGGAGATGGGGCCATTACAGCTAGAAATACCGAATGCATCCATCACAGAGGTGGCAATTCTGCAAGTAGATGATGACAGTGGCAACCCTCTGAATTTGGTTAAACCTCCAGTGTCAAGGTCACCTCCAAGGGAGCAGGTAGTCGAAGACAATATGGTCCCTCAGGAAATGCCTGAACAGGAAGCTACAGTTGGTGCCATCCAGGACTGCACGGAGTCCAGTGTTCACAACTACGAATAAATACCTAGAGCTGCTTGTGAATGAATCAAATTGGCTTTTAGAAATCAGATGCCCAGATGCTCCAGGACTAATTTGCTATCTCATCTGGAACCTACACCAAGAGATGCAGTCAGCATCTTACAGTAAATGTTCATGGAAACTGAAAAATTTACCTCCTTTCCTTTTTCCTTTCCCCTTTAAATACCAGACAAATCAATAACAACTTCTATATATATATATATATATATATATATATATATCTGTAAAAATGTATTTTCTGGGTGTTTTTGGCCAATTTATTTTCTCCCACTTTGTCATTAAAATCAGATGTCTTAACTGGCTCACCACATAGTGTGCTTTGATTGTATTTTGGCTTTGACTCTGCCATTTCTGAAATGTGGGGGAGGATGGAGACAGCTGACCTCTCCAATAGCTGTGTTGTATTCCTACCCAATTTCCTGGGCAGTTGATGCATCTCTGGGAGAAACATCAGAAAGCTTGCTGAAATGAAAACTTGGAAGAATTGTTCATCTCTTAACATTGCTTGAAATGCAACGTGAGTAACTCTTTTGTTTACTGTTTACATCCTTTATTGGCATGTCAACTCCTGTACTTCCCTTACTCTGTTGCCTTTCTTGAGATGCACTGTCCTGCTAACCCACAAACCTGTTTGGAAATAAACAAGGAAGAACATCTGGCAGGCCCACTTTTAAGAAGATGACAAATCAACAAATCGGTAAGACTTTTTCATGGTTCATTGCCAGGAACAGATAGGCTTTTGGGATCACTTTTATTTTTGAAATGGCTTTTGTTCATTGTATTGTGATCCAATAACACTTTGTACTAAATTATTTAGCAGCCATTTCTGTTGTGAAGGGGTAGAAGATCTGTGAAATTTTCGAGATTGAACTCATTCCCTGTTCGACAAACCCATATGTATCCTTTCCTCTACCTCCTCCTCTCCCAATTTATTTCCACCATAGTATGATGTTTTGGGTTGTACATTTTGTTAAAATGATTAAAGAATTTATGAGTTGGCTCGAACAAGTTTAACTTTATTTTTAATGTGTTAATTACTTGGAATAAATGCATTAATCTCATGTTTTCTTCTGGATTTTTGTTTTGAAATCACACACATTTGAACTCCAAAGGAAAACTAGAACAATGAATCCCTGCTGCCCTATTGTTTATCTGCACCCCTCAACCATTCTTTCCTCATTTCTCAGAATTACTTTATGCCAGAATGTTAGGATATATAGTCTGCCCCAGCACAGCCTGGATGGGTAGTAAGTAGGCAACAGTGGTCTGGTATTGGCATCTTCCTGTCGTGAAGCTTTTTGTATACCTTTGTGTTGACTCTCCATAGGGTCTTCTAGGAACTGAGCTCCCCTAGGACAATCAGGTTGTTGCTCTTGGGAATTAGGGAGTTCAGTCCTCAGATTTTCTAACTCTGTCCCTGTTTCCTCTTGATATCCCTGTTGTCAGCATTTTATAACCTGACTCAACAGGGACTTCAGAGTCTTATTTACCCACCTGTTCCTCAAAGATAATAGAAAATTCCTGATCTGTATTTTTCCCCCAAAATTATTTTTTCCTGTTTCCTTATAAAAAGAGTTATAAAATCCCTAGGTCAACTCTGGAAAGCATTTTTTTTTTATACTAATGTCAATTTAGAAGTCATTCTGGCCTCTCTTGATCATGTTATGGAAAGGGCACAGATTTGGGAGAGCTAGATCCTCGACTATACCTCAGTCATACCTTGCTGTGATTTTAGACAAATTAGTTTACCTCACTGTGTCACAGAATTGTTTTGTGTTGTTTCCTTTGAGATAGGATTGTTATTTTTATCCTAGCACCAAATATGTACAGGGTCAGGATATCTTGCCTGTGTCACCTTTCTAGCCCTGATTTTGTAGGAGAAAGCCTGAGTTCAATGTAGTTTTCTTGCTTGGAAACCATAGACTAACTCAAAAGGTGTCATTGAGAAGAGTTAAAGCCCAGATGAGCTTCAGGGAGATTTGTTTTCCTAGAGAACTACTCGCTCTGTGTTTTAGCAGGTTATCTATAGGAATTCAGGGAGCATAATTTTTAATGCCAGTTTGTACTGATTTTCAGTCCTGTTCACTTAGTTCCACTTCTCTTTAGGGAGAGACCGATTGTTTTAGATAGAGTCAGGAAGAGGTAACCATATCAAGATCTCAATCCTAACCTTTTTCCCACTAAGAGGATGTTGGACTCTTACTCTCTAGGTTAGGAGGGGGCCACTTGAAAAGGGTGAGAAGGGAAAAGCAAAATTTATTATAAGAACGGCAGAACCGACTCAAGTAGCTAGGGCTGGAGTACTTTGAGCCTAAGCTTTGGTACTAACTCCTCTTGTATTCTCTGGGTAAGTTCAGGATTTAAACCAAAGGCATCCACCAATCAGGGTTTTTCAAAAATAATGCTCACTTCTAACGATGTAGGAATGACATTCTTTATATCTTGCTTGAACCAGCAGAGGGAGAACTTTTTAGGATTCTGTATTCTGGGCAGGAAGTGTTGCTGCCTCCTTTTGATTAGTGGGATCTAGCTTTGGAACCTATCCAGAGAAGACAGGTGAAAGGAAGGACAAAATTCTAACCCAGTAGCTGGAAATAGAGCATATATATTTTTTTATTCATCACCATCATGGTACTGAGTAAACTTTCAACTTAGGAGACTTAGGCACATGGAAGAAATGGGCCCTGAATTCTAAGTGAAGCTTGTGGTGTAATATAACTATGTTTTAAATTTCACAAACATGAGGAACAACTTTTATCAGGCATCCTCAATTGTGAGAGCAAATGATCAGCAATTATGTTTAAATTTGGGCAAACACCTAATTTTATCTAAGGTGTATAAATAACCCCCTGTAAATCCCCCTTGTCCTTGCCAATGGAGGGCTTCTTACTTTACAAGCCATATTTTCTTCACAGGGTACATAATATTCTCTTTCTGCTAATATTGCTGAATAATATAGTTAAGTATTCTTACTTCACTCATGATACTTCCATCTTTCAAAAAAGTCAAAAAGTTAATATTCTGGTAGCAGAATATGCCAGCATATAAGTTCATTTATCAGACTGCCAGGTTCAGGGACTGAGGAATAATGGGGTGGGGAGGTGGACATACAGGACACATGCATCCAATAGGAACATGAAGTGTAATTTTTAAAATTGGAGAAGGGTCCAGAGAGGATATAGCCTATAACAAATAAATGAGTGGTTTCTTTAAAATATATATATGTATAATATTTGTTATATATATAATATATATATATTGGTAGGTAAGCTTTGTTAATATATTAATATATATTCCTGAACCTTAGTTCTCACCTTAACAAAGCTTACATACCAAATCTAGGATACGAATCTAAAACAAAGTCTTGGTTTATTAACAATTTATGTGAGAACATGGACAAATGGAAATAGTGAGCACATCTCATTTAGAGTTTAAAATTGCAGTAACGTTTATGTAATTTTTAAAAGGCTATGTATACAATATTCATTGATAAGCCACGAAGTTGAATTTATAATGAAAATCTCTTAAAATCACAACTCTCCTGATTTGCCCTCAACCCATATACACTTTTGCAGGAATACATATATAAACATGTATGTTTATGTTGTAGCAGTTAATGTGGTTGTAATTTTACCTTTATGTTTCTTTGATTAATTCTGTGTTCCCCTTGTTCCCCTTAAGTACATCAAAAACTCCCCAAGGCAAGAAGTCTGTCTTTGCTTACTGTTTTCTTAATCATTGTATTCACAGTGCACAGTTGTCTGGCATATAGCAGGTGCTCAATAAAAATTGATTGAAACAATGTGTAATAGTAGCTGTTTTTATTATCGAATTGTTAATACTTAGCAAATTATTAGTAAAAATTGTAAATTGCCTCTTTTATTTTTGGGGTGCTTAGCACTCTAGAAGCCAGCTGTCCTCTTGCTTCTGTCCTGGGTCTTTGTATACAAAGCACTATATCCGTGAAGCATGTCAAGTTTGCCAGTGGTTCCCTCACTTCAGCAGCATTCTGGAATAGTGGTGCCAGGCCATGATGGGAACACTGCTTCTGCAGCTCCTAGAAGAGAAACAGGATGAGAAGGAGTTAAACTGGCCTTAGAGTTAGCAAAAAACTTTTGGGGATCCAGCTTTCAGGTGGTCTGCTTTTTTCTTTGAGCCAGACTTCATAAGCAGGTTGAAGTCAGTCAAACCCCAAACCCCTCTGATTTGGCTGAAAAAGTAATTCAATACTTTATGGTTCAACATCATCTTATCTCATCAAAACTAAATCATAACTTAAAAAGGTTGCCTTTGGGAGAGGGAATAGGAATTCTATCACTTTTTATTTTGTATCTTCTGTTTTGTTTCAACATTGTGACCATGAAAATGCATTTTATATAAAATATAAATGTTTTATAAACAAAATATGTACACATGCACACATATGTATGAAATGATAACATATAGTAAGGGTTACCCATTTCTGTATTAAATTTTTTTTTAAGTTGTGTCTCTCCTACTCAGTGCATTCCTGTTTTCCTTCACACCTCCTGTCTGTTTTCCATCATTACAAATAGGTCCTACTGCTTTTCCCTCAAGACTTCCTAAATTCTCTTCCCATCATTGCTGGACAACATGCCTTCTTCAAGAATCTCTTCCCATTCTTTTTCCCTAACCTCTGTTGAGCTGGTTGTGCATTTTCATTAATGTTGTACAAGCACTTGGACATTAAATGATATCAATCAAGATACCTGTTTCACAAAGTAATACAGGTACACAAAAGATAACAAAGTCTTTGTCACATGCAAAAGGATAGAAGATAACATCTAGATGTAATGGTTTAAACATTTACAGGCTTTGGTTCCATTTGTGGAGGATCAGGCAAGAAAGGAGTTTTGTAGAAAATAAGGGAAATGAGTATGTTTAAGGGAAGTGAATGAACAGGGTGAAAACAAGCAGCGTTACCTAACAGGAGAGCAGAAGGTAGAAGATGAGAAAGATGGCAGAAAAAATCAACCATATTATTATTTTCTTTCATCTCTCTGATACTCTGCCCCTGCTAAGTTTCCACCCAGCCTTCCTATAACCACCTTCCTAAGGATGACTATTATCACATTGTTGCTGATTCTCACCCACTTATCTTCCTTTCTTTTCAGGGGTGATTCCAAAAGTCTTCACATTTCCAAAAGGAAGGACTGCAGCAGACATTTCTGCTCCCAGGAAGGCAGGGATAGAAGCCACAGAGGCCATGGAAATGATGGGGTACCCTTGTGGCCAGTAGGCAATCACCTGTCAGCTCTGACTTCCAGAAGGTGGATATGGCTGCTGTAGGTGGGGATAAGTTGTAGACAAGATCTTGTCATTTTAGCTGCTAGGAAATGGTGAGTTAGGTGAGTGAATATGTATTTGGTTGTACCAGTAGATGAATAATATTAGACTGTACATAGAGGGTTGTATTTTAGACTTGCCACTCCTCACCTCATTTAGCATTGAATAAGTTATCTCCTAAAGTCCCATCTCTCATTTTGTAACATGATATTTACATTAAAGCTATAGAGTTCAAGTCTTCATGTTCTTCCTGGGCCCTGGCTCCAATGTCCCCCTAAGTAGAACATCTCTTATCTCAGTTCCAGCTTCTTTTATTGGCCCATACAAGGACAAAGTAAAATTGGGTATGTCCTTAGTGGATTAGGGTATGAGTAAGCAAAGGAGACTCAATGAAGCGGGGATAATCACAAAGGAGATGTTTGAAAAATCCCTCAATATCAGACTTAAGGGCAGCTGTCCACCAGTTTTCACTCAGTCTTGTACTTGTCCCACACACATTGAAACCTCTGGTGTACCGTAGCAGGCAACCATCATTTCAAACCGCCAAGGAAACCTCTTACTCTCTGCATTATTTAAAATGCCAGTAGGGGGCTGGGCATGGTGGCTCATGTCTGTAATCCCAGCACTTTGGGAGGCTGAGGAGGGTAGATTGCTTGAGGCCAAGAGTTCGAGACCAGCCTGGCCAACATGGTGAAACCCTGTCTCTACTAAAAATACAAAAATTAGCCAAGTATGGTGGTGTGTGCCTGTAATCCTAGCTACTTAGGAAGCTGAGTCAGGAGAATTGCTTGAACCTGGGAGGTGGAGGTTGAGCTGAGATTATGCTACTGCATTCCAGCCAGGGTGGCAGAGCAAGATGCCATCTGGAAAAAATAAAAAATGAAATGCTAGTAGGGTGTGGGCATGGTAGCTCACACTTATAATCCCAGCACTTTGAGAGGCCAAGGTTGGCAAATCACTTGATCCCAGGAGTTCAAGACCAGCCCAAGCGACATAGTGAGACCCTGTCTCTACAAAAAAATAAATTAGCCCAGCATGGTGGTCCATGCCTGTAGTCCCAGCTACTTGGGAGGCTGAGGTGGGAGGATCACTTTGAACCATCGAGGTTGAAGCTGCAGTGAACTGTGATTGCACTCCAGCCTGAGCAACAGAACAAGAACCTGTCTCAAAAATAAATTAAAAATAAAAAATGGCCCAGGCATGGTGGCTTATGCCTGTAATCCCAGCACTTTGGGAGGCCAAGGCAGGCAGATCATCTGAGTTCAGGAGTTCAAGACCAGCCTGGCCAACGTGGCGAAACCCTGTCTCTACTAAAAATACAAAAATTAGCTGGGCATGGTGGCACACACCTGTAATCCCAGCTACTTGGGAAGCTGAGTTAGGAGAATCGCTTGAACCCGGGAGGTGGATATTGCAATGAGCCTTCATTGGGCCACTGCACCCCAGCCTGGGTGACAGAGAGAGACTCCCATCTCAAAAAAAAAAAAAAAAAATGGACTGGTTGCGGTGGCTTACACCTATAATCCCAGCAGTTTTTGGGGCCGAGGTGGGCAGATCACCTGAGGTCAGGAGTTTGACACCAGCCTGCCCAATATGGTGAAACCCTGTCTCTACTAAAAACACAAAAAAATTAGCCAGGCGTGGTGGCGGTTGTCTAATCCCAGCTGCTTGGGAGGCTAAGGCACGAGAATCACTTGAACCTGGGAGGCAGAGGTTGCATCGAGCTGAGATCTCGTACCATTGCACTCCAGCCTGGGCAACAAGAGTAAAACTCTGTCTCGAAAAAAAAAAAAATGCCCGTAGGAGACAGCATTTTTTTGTTTTTTGAAGATAGTCTCACTCTTTCAGCCAGACTAGATTGCAGTGGCATGATCTTGGCTCACTGCAACCTCTGCCTTCTTGGTAGAAACAATTCTTGTGCCTCAGCCTTCCAAGTAACTGGAATTACTTTATACATGGTAGCACAGGCATGTGCCACCATTCCTGGCTAATTTTTGCATTAGTAATTTGTAATAGTAAATTAGTAATGTCTATCTTGGCTCACTGCAACCTCTGCCTTCTGGGTAGAAACAATTTTTGTGCCTCAGCCTCCTGAGTAGTTGGAATTACACCATTATATGGTGGCACAGGCTAATTTTTTTATTAGTAGAGACAGAGTTTCACCATGTTAGCCAGGCAAGTCTCAAACTTATGATTGCAAGTTATCCGCCTGCCTTGGCCTCCCTAAGTGGTGGGATTACAGGCGTGAGCCACTGTGCCCAGCTAAAAAATGCTAATAGGTACTTTTATTCCTTTTTGTACTTTGGGACTATGGGCTGAGAAACACAGTGGGAATGGGAACCAGAACCTAGTAAAATTTAGCTGCCCTTTAAATCCTGTAAACTCTGAGATGTATTTAAATATAAGCTGTGCCAATTCCAGATTTATCCTGAAAACTATTAGTCTGGTTTTTGTTTTTTGTTTTGTTTTGTTTTCAGACTGAGTCTAGCACTGTCACCCAGGCTGGAGTGCAGTGGTGCAATCTCTGCTCACTGCAACCTCCACCTCCCAGGTTCAAACGATTCTCCTGCCTCAGCCTCCCGAGTAGCTGGGATTACAGGCCTACGTAACCACGCCCGGCTAATTTTTGTATTGTTAGTAGAGATGGGGTTTCACCATGTTGGCCAAGCTGGTCATGAACTCCTGACTCTAAGTGATCCACCTACCTCAGCCTCCCAAAGTGGTGGGATTACAGGCGTGAGCCACCGCACCTGGCTGGTTTTGTTTTTGATTTGTAAGTCCAGGCACTTTTAGAGTCCTGGAGGTCTAGTTCACTGCCCAAATAAATCTATGGTTTTAGTAACTTTAGGGAATATTCATGATATAAGCAAAGCCATCAGTGGAATAAGAAGTCAGTAAAGGGCAAAAAGTACCTCAGGGCCTCATGTTGCTGATATATTAGTTAAGGACCTGGTGGATGAAGCAATGGAAAGCAACTTGGTGCCAGGGCTGCCAACACTTCATCACTACCACTTTCTTTCCTTTGCTCTAGCCCAAGATCTGTTTCTCATTAACTGTCACATTCCTCTGTTCAGGGACAATCAAGGATGTTGGTCACAAGCTTTCATACACACATGACTCACAGTCCTACCTTCATCCTCTGCTTTGCTGCTTAGACTTCTGTTCTCCAATGGTGTGTGAGGTGTACTGAACTGGGGGAAGGGTGAGGGAAAGGAAACATTTTTTAGACTACTGTTTTTACTTTGGACTTCTTTTTTCTATTATTCAAAACAGCTTCATTTTTTATTTAGCTTTCTGACTCTCAGCATTTTCACAATGATTTTCTGCTCTTTGATAAGGAAAGCACACTTGATCTTGTTATGAATACATTAAGCACACATAGAACCACCATAGGCCCTGCTGATATGTCTTTTCGTTTGCACAATCTCATAAGAACTTTAGGTCTCATAGCACAAACCCCTTGAAGTCTGCCTGGGCACACACCACATGCAGATTTTGGTGCTTTCTCAACATTCTTGGTATAAAGGTAAGCAATTATATTACTAGGGATTTGGGACAGCCTAGTTTTTTTGTTAGAGGCTATATCATAAGAAGGCCTATGATGGTATGTGCTGGACCATTCTAAATGCCTCTATGCAAGTGCATTGGGCTGGTACTGAGAGCTCTAGGCTTCCTCAACTTCTGCATGGTGTCCAATTATAAAGGAACTATGGACAGAGAAAAGAGAATAGCTGCCATACCTCTAGACCCCTTTGGACTCCTTTTATTTTATGTGAGTTTACATGTATAATGAATGATGAAATACTTAAGATCTCTTCATTGAATTACAGTTAATATGTTGAATTTCACATAACAAAATTCACCTTTATTTCTCTGAGACAAGGTCTTGTTCTTTCATCCAGGCTGGAGTACAGTGCTGTAATCATGGCACACTTCAGCCTCCACCTCCTGGGCTCAAGTGATTCTTCCACTTTAGCCTCCCAAAGTGCTGTGATTAGAGGTGTGAGCCACTATGCCTGGCCAAATTCACCATTTTTAAGTGTATAGTCCTGTGGTTTTAAATATCTTCAGTGTTGTACAACTAACACCGCTATCTAATTCCAGAACATTTCCATCATCCTCTAAAAAAACATATACCCATTGGCAGATACTTCCAGTTACCCCCACTCCCAAGCCACTGGCAATCACTAGTCTCCTTTCTATCTCTATGGATTTGCCTATTTTGAGCATTTAATATAAGTGGAGTCATACAATAAATAATTCTTTTGTGTCTGGCTTCTTTCACTTAGCACAATATTGTCAAAGTTCAACCATGTTATATCACATATCACTATTTCATTGCATTTTATGGCTAATTAATATTCCACTGTATAGATAGGCCATGTTTTGTTTACTAGTTGTTGGACATTTGGGTTATTTTCATATTTTGCCTGTTAAAAATCTGTGATCATTCATGTACACGTTTTTTGGTGTGAATATACGTTTTCAGTTCCCTAGGGTACATACACAATTAGGAGTGTATGGTCATATGGCAACTATTTAACTTTTTTCTTTTTTTTTTGAGATAGTCTTGCTGTTGTCGCCTGGGCTGGAGTGCAATGGCATGATCTCAGCTCACTGCAACCTCCACTTCACAGTTCCAACAGTACTCCTGCCTCAGCCTCCCGAGTAGCTAAGATTAGTGGCTGCCACCACACCTGGCTAATTTTTATATTTTTAGTAGTGACAGGGTTTCACCATGTTGTCCAGGCTGGTCTCAAACTCCTGACTTCAAGGTGTTTCACCCGCCTGGGCTTCCCAAAGTGCTGGAATTACAAGCATGAGCCACCATGCCTGGCCCCGTTTAACTTTTTTCTAAGTAAACTTTTATGTTAAAGTACAGTGTTAATATTTTAAAAACAGGCTGGATACAGTGGCTTATGCCTGTAATCCCAGGACTTTGGGAGGCTAAGGCAGGAGGATTACTTGTGTCCAGGAGTTCAAGACCAGCCTGGGCAAAATAATGAGACCCCATCTATACAAATAAATAAATAAAAATTAGCTGGGCATGGGAGCATGTGCCTTTAATCAGAGCTACTCAGCAGGTTGAGGTGGGAGGATCACTTGAGGTCAGGAGGTAGAAGCTGCAGTGAGCCATGATCGAACCACTGTACTCTGGCCTGGGTAACAATAAAACCCTATCTCAAAAACCAAAAACACAAGGGTTAAGCTTAACAGTTTCACAAAGTGAAAAGACCTAGGTAACCAACACCCAAATCAAAAAAATAAAATACAACCAACACCCCGGAAGCTCCTCTTATGTTATCTTCCAGTTACCACTTCCCCCAAATGTAACCACTATTCTGACTGTTATCTCTGGTGATTAAAAAAAAACCGAGGTGAAATTTACATCATAAAATATGTGAAATTTTCATCACACAAAATAAAACCCTATTTCCCTTAAGCAGTTAGTCCTCATTCCCACCTAACTGCAGCCCCTGGCAATCACCAATCTGTTTTCTGTCTCTATGGATTTACCTATTCTGGACATTCTGTATAAATAAAATCATACAATATGGGACCATTTGTCTGTATTTTTGTGCTACTATTTTTTCACTTAGCATAATGTTCTTGAGGTTCATCCATGTTGTTGTATGTATCAGTGTTTTATTCCTCTTTATAGCTAAATAATACTCCATTATATGTATATATCACAATTTGTTTATCCAGTCATTTGCTGATGGACCTTTCAGCTTGTCGAGTTGTTTCTACCTTTTGCTTATTTTGAATAATGCTGCTGTGAACATTTCATGCATAAGTATTTGAGTAGCTGTTTTTTATTCTTTCAGGTATTTACTAGAGATAAAGTGGCTGGGTCATATGGTTATTCTATGTTTAATTTTTTGAGAAGCTGCCAAATTGTTTTCCATAGCACCTGAATCATTTTACGTCCCTACAGCTTTGTACAATCTCCATAACACTTGTTAGACTCCTTTTATATATATATATACACATATACATATATATACACATATACATATACATACATATACATATATATACACATATACATATACATATATATACACATATACATATACATATACATATATATACATATATATATATAATAACCATCCTAGTATCTCATTATGGTTTCGGTTTACATTTTCCTTATAGAGCAATACTGAGCATCTTTGTTGTTGTTGTTGTTTTTGAGACAGGGTCTTGCTCTGTTGCTCTGGTTGGCATGCAGTGGTGGGAACACAGTTCACTGCAGCTCAACCTCCTGGGTTCTAGTGATCCTTCTACCTTAGCCTCCTGAGTAGCTAGGACCAAAGGCACACATCACCACTCCCAGCTAATTTTTTATTTGTAAAGATGGAGTGTTGCTATGTTGCCTAGGCTGGACTTGAACTCCCGAACTCAAGCAGTCCTTCTGCTTGGCCTCCCAAAGTGCTGTGATTACAGGTGTGAGCCACCACATCTAGCAGTGAGCATCTTTTATGTGCTTATTGACCAATTTTTTTTTTGAGACCGTCTCACTCCCTCACCCAGACTGGATTGCAGTGTCATAGTCTTCATTCACTGCAGCCTCTGCCTCCTGGGTTCAAGTGATTCTCCTGCCTTAGCCTCCTGAGTAGCTGGGATTATAGGTGGAGGTCACCGTGCCCAGCTAATTTTTGTGTTTTTAGTAGAGACAGCATTTTGCCATGTTGGCCAGACTGGTCTTGAACTCCTGACTTCAAGTGATCCACCCAACTGGGCCTCCCAAAGTGCTGGGATTACAGGTGTGAGCCACTGCACCTGGCCTTATTGGCTGTTTTTATATTGTCTTTACAGAAATGTTTATTCAAGTCCTTTATGTATTTTAAAATTGTAATGTTTGTCTTTCTATTCTACAGTTGTAAGGATTCTTTATATATTCTGCATACTAGGTCTTTATCTGATATATGACTTACAACTAACTATTCTCTAGGTTGTCTTTTCAGTTTCGTGATGTCCTTTAATTGACAAATCCAAGGTCTTAAAGATTTACCTCTTTATTTTCTTCTAAGAGTTTTACAGTTTTAGCTCTTATATTTAGGTTATTGATCCATTTTGAGTTAGTTTTTATATATGGTGTGAGGGCCCCAACTCCATTTGTTGCACATGAATATCTGGTTGTCCCAGCACCGTTTATTGAAAAGACTGTTTATTCCCCCATTAATAATCATGACATCCTTAGTGAGAATCAGTTGGCCATAGATACATGGGTTTATTTCTGAACACATCATTCTACTCCATTGGTTTATATGTATTTCCTTATGCCAGTTCCACACTGTTTTGATTACTCTAGCTTTGCAGTATATTTTGAAATGGAGAAGCAGGAGTCCACTGACTTTGTTCTTTTTCAAGATTGTTTTGGCTATTTTGGGCCCTGTTACAATTTCATGTGAATTTGATGATCAGATTTTCCATTTCTGTGAAAAAGTCTTGGAATTGTGATAGGGAATGTGTTGAATCTGTAGATTGCTTTGAATATTATCATCTTGATATCAAGTATTCTGATCCCCACACATGGGATACTTTTCCATTTATTTAGATCATCTTTAATCACTTTCAGCAGTATTTTGTAGTTTTTGTTTTTGTCTTTTACCTCAGCTAAAATTAATACTAAGTATTTTATTATTTTATATGCTATTGTAAATGTAATTGGTTTCTTAATTTCCTCTCAAAGTATTCATTGCAGATGTATAGAAACACAACTGATTTTCATGCATTGATCTTGTACCCTGAAACATTGCTGATTTCATTTATTCTAGTAGATTTTGTGTGTATATAGATTCTTTGGGAATTTTTATTATATTTTATTTATTTATTTACTTATTTGAAACAGTCTTGCTCTGTTACCCAGAATGGAGTACAGTGGTGCATTCATGGCTCACTACGCCCTTAACCTCCAGGCTCAAGCAATTTTCCCACCTCAGTCCCCCAGGTAGCTGGGACCACAGATGCACACCACCATACCTGGCTAATTTTTAAAATTTATAGAGACAGTGTTTTACTATATTGCTCAGATTGATCTTGAGCAAACTCTGGGGCTTGAGCAGTTCTCCTGCCTCAACTTCCCCAAGTGCTGGGATTACAGGAGTGAGCCACCACACCCACCGTGGAAATTTTTATATGCATAGAATCATGTCATCTTACAATAGAGATAGTTTGACTTTTC